GATTTCCGTATACACATATACATATGTATGCGTACAACATCCTAATAGAATAGATTCTGTGGTTCCCAACTCCTTTTCCTCTCTTAGGCCCCACTGAGCAGGGTACTTCAGTTGAACAGTTTCAGTCCCACGAGTCCAAGCAATTTGTTGAAGCGGGGGCTGTTTTCCGATGTGCTGACCTCCGAAGATCGAGGAAAGAGCTCAATCCCAGCTCGAAAGCAAAGGACGAAATACTTCACTACCGTGGGACTCCGCTGTAACTTGGGCTGCAGAAAATAAGCTCTTCTGGAACAGCTTTTTTAGAGTCAGAGATGTTCCTTATTTGAATAAACCCCAGGAGTATATTTGAATAAAGCGCAACAAAACGAGATAATCTGTAACCCTTCAAAGACCTACATTTTCTTTCAACATTCTTTTTGTGGTTTGGAGGTTATTTTAGTAGATTTATGAACCTAACATGCTCCTTTCTGTTTCACCAGTCTGCTGTTGCTGCAGACTTAACTCTAAGATAACATCTAAAGGGTTGCGGGACCCATTCAGAAATCTCCGGTCCCACATGACTGAAACATCCCGCAGCTTCGTACGGCGATGTTCCCCGGCCAGACCCCGGAGAGGTCGGGGGCAGGGAGCGAGGATGGAGCCGGCATACAGGGGACCCGGGGGGTTGGGGGGGAATCCCCCGGCTGCCTCCCCGACCCCCAGTAAGGGCAGATTTGCAGGCTAAGGGAGTGACAAATACTGAGTCCCAAGAGTTTGGCTGGTGACTGCGGTGGTAACTTTTAATTTGCGGGGTGCGGGGTAGGGGGGGAATCACAGCTCTTTCAGTACCGTGCGGAGTGAATGAACAAGCCCCCGAGTCTCAGGCGGTTCCCCCAAACCGGAGCGTCGCTGAAGCCTTGCCCGACGGGGCTCCCGGCGAGGGGGGCAGCCCGGTACCGGCCTCCCCTGCCACCGCCACCGGGGCGGCGGCTCGGCGGGAGCTGCGGGGTGCGAGGCAGGGCTCGGGGCCAGGCTGCTGCTCTCCCGAGCTGAGCTGAAAATAACCCCGAGTCTGGAAAGAGCTGGATGAATCCTTCGTTCGTTGGGGAGAGCCTCACCCCGGGCGTATTCCGAAGGAAGCTGAAAAGCTCTCCCTTTCCCAAGGCGGCCACGGTTTTCCGTCCCCACCCCCCGAGACAGTGCAGCCCGCAAGAAACCTAAGCGACATAGAAAGCTTTTCTACCTTTTTCTGTTAAACACGAGGTTAGCCGAGTTTTGGAGGAAAAAAAACCCAACGCAGCAGCCTTGAACTAAGCGGCACCTGTCCCTCGAGGATGTCCTAAATCATGGGACCCTTTCAGTCTATAATCTCGTAAAATTCAATCCCCTAAATCCCACGTAGTAGCTCTGTAAAATCTCCTTCCGTCTCTGCCCTAGCCCGGGAAAGGCAGAGCCCGGGGAGAGCGGGCTGCCGGAGTGGAGACCCGGGCGCAGGGGCGGCCCA